TGTGACTATACCACAGTATATTTATGTGTGCTCATGATAACAGAGATGTCAGCTGTCGTCTATTTTCCTGTTACAGGGCTACATTATGTAAGCTACAAATTATGTCTATGACATTTTTATTTTACTAAGAGGTTTAACAAAAGATAGACTTTTTGGATAAATTTTGTTTGACAGTAACAAATTGTTTTTTCAAAGTGGCTGGGCCAATCTATTTTCCTATGTGCACAGAATATACTTCTCATCTTCCTCGAACTTAAAATATCCAACTTAAATCAGTTCCTCAGGTCCCAAATGGTATCCACTTTGGTTTTCAATTTCCACTTCCTGGCTGGCTGCAATAGTTGGTTATCATCTGCCCCGAGGCTTCTTTTGTGGCATGTCTGCTCAAGTCAGGGACCCACAGGTGGTCTTTCCCTATTGACTCCATTACTACTTTCAAGACTTTTTAGTTTCTGGCTTACTGGTTCACTTTCTTTAAAGTACGTGTGTGATACATGTGAGTTCCTAATTATAATGCTGTCCTCTCTTCTCAATATGTTCTTTTAGGGAACTTTTCCTTTTCAAATTAAAGACATATCAGCACTGTTCTCTGTCTTCTTCACTTTGGTTTCCCTTCTCATATCTGATTGGCCAATCCACCTGCAGAGGGATGTATGCATTGAGATGGGTGTTCAACTTCGCTTTTTTTTTTCTGCCATTTAGTGATAGGATTTTTGTCAATCATTTCCCAGCTACTACAGAATACCTATGTCAGTTCCTGTGTCTAGAGTCTTCATTAGTCTGCCTATTCATTTTCTCTGCTGTCTAAATTACAGCAATCCAATACAACCATCTCTTTTAAAGCTTTGATAGGGTTGTCTTACTGCATTGTTCTTTCACATATATTTTAGCAACTGGTTGCCAAAGCCATTGAAAATGCCTTTAGATTTTCACCAGAACTTGAGTGAATGTGCCCAGCAACTTGGAGAACCCTGACTCAGTGTAGCTCTGAGTCTTCCGATCTATGGGTGAAATTTCTTTGCCTTACATACATTTGATTTAACACATTTCAATAAAAATGTATTGCCCCTTTGAGGATCTGACATACCCTTTATTTCTTGACATCTAGTAATGTGATATTTTAAAACTTACAATGGGCTCTTTATTTGTAGACATTCAAATACATGTTATATTTTAATGCCAGGGATTCAGAAAATTTGCTAAAACCTTGTATTATTTTGAATAATAGGTACTTCTCAAGTTTCCTAAATAGACAGTCTCATTATCTGGGAATTGTAGTAGTTTTATTTCTTCTTTTCCAATTTATTTCTCCTCTTCCTGCTTTCTAGCACACTGTTGGGTATTAAAATGAGGTCAATTTTGAGACAGACGGAACAGCACTCCCAGTTACACCCAGTCATGATGTGTGACCTATGATAACTATTACCAGATATGCTTAAGTGGCTTTTACATAATTTGAATTTAATTTTAGATTTTACTTCTCATCATTAGGTTTTGTGACCAAGGTTATAACTAATTAGTTCCTTTACCTTACACTCTTAAGGTTTTACTACATTTCTGACATTGAAGTTAATACGACTATTATTCTTATGTCTGCAGACAGAACTTCTGTAGAATTTGTTATACTTGGTAATGATTTACCTCATCTTTCTTTCTTGTCTTCTTTCTTCGTATTTCATCATATGGTACACACTCCTTACCTTCCTTTCTCTCCTCCCCTTGCTGCTGTTTGTTATACATGGTATTTTGTTTCCCTTTTAGTTTGTACTTTGAAACTGTAAGCTTTGATTGAAGTTAATACAGCCAAGAAATGATGGGCTTGTATTTCTTGTAAAACTCAGCACATATTTAAGCTGCTATGACACTCATTTCTCACACAAAATGTCTCCTTCTTTGCTATTTAGCAATAAGCTATGCTTATCAGCGATTTTCCCCGGGGTGGATCTACTTCCATCCACAGAGATAGTGGCCCATGGCATTCCAGCTATATGACGAAGTTCTCCAAATAGCCATTTAATTTAGAGTATGCATGGCATTTTGTCTACAATAACTCAAGCCAATAACAGTCATAGTATCGTTAGAATAACTATGTGTTAAAGATTAAGATGAATGAAAGAAGCCAGATAAAAACAAGCACTTTAGATGTATTTCATTAAAATGTCACTCTAGAACTGGCCAGCTTTAACCTGTAGAATGAGCAAGTAGAATGAACAGTGCTTCTGGCTGAGAATAACTGCAAAGGTCACCATTTGGGGCAAGAGAAATGGCCTACAATGTGATGGGGTGATAATATTTTTTAAGCAAACTCTTAGCTTAAATACATTAAAAACTGGTATATATTATCATACTCAAATTGTTCCTCATTGAATTTGATTTCAAAATGTGCTATAATAAAAATAATAAATTATACATTTAAGATCTATGCCTTTCTCTCTTATGTTAATCTTATCTGTATAAAATAGCCATTTAAATCCCTTTAGAATTAGGAACACCAGAACTCAGAGGTGTAGCAATGATGCCAATTTCAAAGGATTGGATCGCTTATGGAGGCAGGCACACAGCTGCCACGTAGAGGCAGGGTCTGCTGGCCATTCATTCTTCATTGCTCATGAAAATCACTTCTGTGACTGAAGGCTATTTCTAAGTTAACATATTCAAAGTAAAAGAAGGGCATCTGTGCAGTACAGATCTCGACATCATTTAGGTTACTTTGCCTACTGTGTTTCTATTGCAAGCATGGGAGTAAGAAGCCATGTTCACTTGTGGTAGAGGGCAGAAGCTGGTGGGAGGAGGGCAGTCACCGTGCATCAAGGGTGGATGTGATTGGGCCTCCAGCATCTTCCCTATTTCCATCCGCTCTCCAGCCTTGCTCTGTGTGACACTGATCCTATTCCTGCATTCGGTACAGTTCTTTTCTGCTGTTAACTGACTGAAGAGGCACCGACAGAATGGGACAAAAATCTTTGTCTGTTATATATCTGACAGAGGATTAATGTCTAGAATATACAAAGAACTAAACACTAAGAAAATAATGAACCCAACTTAAAAAATGGGCTGTGGAACTGAACAGAGAGTTCTTAAAAGAATAAATACCCAACATGTAAGAATTTTGTTTTGTTTTGCTTCTCAAGAGAGGGTCACTATGTAGTCTTGGCTATCCTGGAGCTTACCTTGTAGATCAGGCTAGCCTTGAGCTCAGATATTCACCTGACTCTGCCTCCCAAGTGTTGGAATTAAAGGCTGCACCACCATGCCCAGTGATAAATATTTTTAGAAGTGTACAACATCCTAAGCCATCAGGAAAATGCAAATTACATCTATTCTCCAATTTTATCTTTACTTAATTCATATGATTCAATTCAGTTCAATTTCTTGTTTTTTTCCTACTTTTCCCAGGGCTGTGGTCACTCCTGTGAGAAGTAGAAATCATCAACCATGAAGACCTGTTTTTTTTTTTTTTTTTTTGAGGAGATAATAAGCTAATGGGAGGTATTTATGAGCTACAAAATGTAGTGATACCCATGGTGCTATTGGCTCATTAAATACAAAAGATGCTGAGTTTAGCTCTCTAGAGAGCCCCAGAGGGCTTGGTGAGTAGATGAAACCTAAACAGAGCCCTGAAAGGCAAACAAGATGAAGTAGACATGCAAGGGCAACCAAGAGTCCAGACCGTGAATGCCAGTCAAGGCAGACAAAAGGCAGAGCCTACCACAACTCACTGATAGCCCACTGGAAGGCAAGTTGGCTTCCCAGGGTAGAAGGGCATGTTGCTTTCTGTGATTCAGCACTTTAGAAGTCTTTTGGTAAAAGTTATATTCAATTTACAAAGTAAAATATTTTCAAAGTTGGAAAATATCATTTATACTTGTCCCCATGCCACCTCCTTGGACTCCAAACTCTGTTGTGTTTTTCAATGTGATACAGAATCACTCAATCAGGCTGCTCGGCAGACAAAGTCTAAACTTTCAAATAAATTTGTTGGCTAGAAGGATTTAACAAAGTGAGCTTTCTGTTGTTTTTGGATCTAGATCAGAAATGACTAATATTATATATACTGTGGCAGCTAGAAAGAAAGGAATAGGAAAAATATAATTAAAACACTTCCACTATAATTCTTACAAACCACACAAAGGAAATGAGATACAAAAGGATGACTAAGCTGAGGCAAAGGTTCCTGTCCTAACTCTTACTATCTGTGGCCCTGACTTTTCACTACCTGTGATCAGTGTTATACACAAAGAATATTATTGAAATTCATAGTGAGGTACAGGATGATGTTCAAGAATAGAGTCTTCAGAAGCCTCTTTTCTAAGAATCTCATGATTCTGTGTTTCAGTGATGGAGACCAGTGAAAATGTGAGGTTTAGAAACAAAACGATATAGCTTAAGAATTTTAAAGATCCAACAAATTTGCAGCCTCTGGACCACTATTAGGTTTAGTTCTGGTTATGAGTCAGGCCTTTCTTATCATCAGCTCATGAACCTCTTAACCACACACCATTCTGTTGTAAGAGCCACTATTGTTATGACTATTTAAAGTTCAACACTGTTTGTGATTTGTCTATTCTGTATGTTCACCAAATATATAGTGAAAATTTAAGAACTTAACTTAGTATCAGAAGATTCTTTTGGTAAAAAAACATATTTAAGCAGGAAATAAATTGCCATGTACACGGTATTACATAAAAGTTATATAGCCCCAATACTGAGTTTCTTTGTAAAGTTTTCCCTTTAATTTGAATCACAAAACATTTAAAGAGTTAGCGGTTAAATACACCCATAGTTAAATATTAGGAAGTAGATCCAACTTACAGACCTGTATGTAAAATGAATGGTATATTTTTCAAACCATTATTTTCAGATTATTATTCACTACACAAAACAGAGAGCTCCAGAAATGCTTTTTAGGGAATAGGAAGTTAATAAGACGTGTAGAATATTTAATTTCACGCACCGAGCAAGAGAGTACAGATAAGCAGATTTTTCTGCCAAAAACAAACCTTAAGGAAACGGTTGTTATTGTTATTGCAGTTGCCAGACATTCCTTGCAATTCAGCCACAGTGTTCTAAAATGTTGACAGAAACAATTAAAGAAGGTTTCCTCCCAATCCCAAGACAGCAGGACAGAAAAACATCAAGGTTCAAGTGTTGGCTGGACCACACACTGTCCAGTACCAACAAGAGCCTGCTGTACCTCCACGCTCAGTTTCCCAGATCAGAGACACAGGACTATGTCTCTCTGCATTATTACATTCACAGTAATAAAAGACTAGCAACAAACATTTCTGTCTCTTGCTCATATAGAACAAACTATATCCAACCAGGATCAGTAAACAGCCTGAGTCAAACTTAGTGCTAACCCACAATGTTTTCCCCCACAAAAATTTAGTTTTGTAAACCCTTTTTAATATGTATGCAACTACAATTTCCATTACACTTTTGCTTCCATTGTTATACTTTAACAGAAGGAATAAAAACAAATATTCCTGTTGGAAGCTGCTTTAAATTGCATACAGTACATGAAAAGATTCTAAGAGACAAAGTGTCACAATATTATTATAATGATATGAATTTCTAGTAACAAAAACAAATAATAAAGGAAAAGAATAAGTTGTATTTTAAGACACAGCTTTGTTTTCTGGTGACGATTTAGCATGTTATAATCTGTTTGTTGCCTAAAGAGAGGTTGAAATGTCATTTGTGATAAATGGCTTTACACAGTGGTAAATATTCCACTATTGAAGGATCTTTAAGGAAGTAAAATAATCATATCATGTTAAAAAGTATTTGTAAATTGACTTCTTTTAACTTCAGTATGAACCAAAAGAGACACAACTGCAGTTGGTTTGATTTCCAGGCTGAGCACACAGCACTTCAAACTGCATGATGTTCTTATATAGAAATGTAGTCAAAAATGCAAACACATTCCACACAAAAAATAACAGAATATCACCTAGCCACTACCACAGAACATCAACAGTTCCAGATTAAAATGGGAGATCAAACATTGTCAAATTCTACTTGAAAATTTTACCATACACATAGTTTCACGGCACCGTGTGAATTGAGGGGTTTATTGAATCCTCCATGGTTACCTTTCAAATTGGAAAGGAAGGAAGGAAGGAAGGAAGGAAGGAAGGAAGGAAGGACGGACGGACAACAACAAAATTCTAGTGGGCGTGCAGTTCTCTTAAACCCAGAAATGCGCTGTCACTGAGCGCAGATGTGCATGTGTGTGAATCTTTCAGCCTTCAGATTTCTATCACCTGCTCTTTGGGGAATCCCTTCCTATTCTTCAGCCTTCAGACAGGGCCACTTGTGCTTTTCCAAATTAGAATGCTTAACAGAGAGTGCCCAGAAACAGGAATGCAAATTCAAACAGAATTGGCTGTTTGCTTATTGGAAACTCTTCTAGTTTAAATATTTGGAGAAAAGCAGAAGCAGCAGAAATTTAAATAGTTTGAGGATGATCTATACATTTCAAATTCTATCAGAGCATGACTTACACTTTCCTAAAGCATTATAGCAGATGAACAGAGGCGTAAGTAATACATGACAATCTTTCCCTTCACAAGGGGCCAGTGTCCTGTAACAACTGCAGGAAATATTTCTCACATCCAGATGTTTCCTGTACAGCCAATTCAAGCAACCTGTCAACGTGATGTGCTCCAAGTTAAAATGAACCTTGCATAATTTGATCAAAAACAGAAGCACTGCACCCGTCTGTGGGTAACCCCGTTTCAGCCTTGCTTGGGAAGTAGCCAGTTGAACCTGGTTGCTCTGTGTCATCAGAGGGTTTCCTGGCTGTGTCCAGGCAAGGTCACAGGAGATACTGGCAAATAAAATGATTCTAAATTTGAAATTACAAGAAGATTCTGCAAATTACAAGAGAAGTGAAAAGCCCTGTGACTGACTGTACATATTCAGGCCTGTCCTAACAAAGATACGCAAATCAATAAACTGCTCAATTATATATGAAATTAAATCAATTATTCAAGGCCCATCTATCCATTGGCTATCCAATATTGGTTCTTCTCATGTCCCTCACATCTTGGTCATTTTACTTTTCATTAACAGAGGAAGAGAGTAAACAGAAAACAGAGATAACACTCCAATCCTCCAACTTAATATTTGGTAGCATTAATTAAAAATTTGAATCAAGTGCCAACATTGGAAGTTCTAACAATGGAGTAAATTTTCATTGTTTGTACAGCTTTCATCTTTCCTGTGAACAGAAAATTAATGGTTGCTTCTGCCTGTGCTTTCGGTGGGAAGAAGGCACTGTGGAACACCTAAGAAAGCAGAATACAGGAAGAAACACGAGGGAAGAACCTGACTTCAAGGAGGTCAAGGTTAGTTGCATTAACAGAGTAGTGAGTTTCTGAGTTTGACTGTTACAACTCATAAAAGGATGAGAATATTCAACTCAATCTCTTCTCTAAAACATTTCTATACCAATTAATCTTCTCTTTAGACTATGTAGATGATACTTAAACATAGCTCCCTACAGCAAAGCAAGTTTTCAAGGGTTCAATGTCCCTCTTATTGGAAATACAGAACAGGCTCACAGACCTGAGAAACTACAAGGAACACCACCTCTCAAAACAAGAATCCTCTTAACACCTTTTGTTGCCCAGTTATTCTGTTTCTTAATAGAGACAGAGCCATGAGGGTGTCCTGTGTGCTTCATTCAAAAACAGCGCACTGTGGTGCTCAGGCTCGGGGGCCAGAGAGAGAGGGCACCAACCTGAAATCTGTGAAGCACTAGCTGAACAGCTGCAGAAAACAAAAACAAAAACAAAAACAAAAACCCTTGGTTACTGGATTAGTAAGGGGGAAAAGAATCTCTCTCCAGTACCTTAAAGGTTCAGTGAGATTGACTCCTAGAAAACTTTATGGTCACTGCTTACTCACTCTTCTCCCACTAAAACCCATGCTCAAGTGGCAATGAACTCTACTTGCTCTGCTTAAACAAACAAGAAATACAATCCACACACCAACTAGAAACTTGGTATGATGTATGTTCCTAAGCATAAATGTTCCTTGATTCTTTCATTTATTCACTATGAAATTAGAGTAAAATCATTTTCCATCCCCCTTTTCTTTTTCCCTTTTCTCTCCTTCTTCCTCCCCTTCCTCCTTCCTTATCTCTGCCTCTTCAATACACACAGAGAGGGTGCAGGTAAAGAAGAGAGGGAGGGAGGGATAGAGAGAGAGAGAGAGAGAGAGAGAGAGAGAGAGAGAGAGAGAGAGAGAGGAGAGAGAGAAGAGAGAAAGACAGAGAGAGAGAAGAGAGAGACAGAGAGACAGAGAGAGAGAGAGAGGAGAGAGAGACAGAGAGAGAGAGAGAGAGAGACAGAGAGAGAGAGAGAGACTTTAGAAGCTTACATTGAAACTTTTGGGGGGCTAAATGTGATCAATCAATTCCTCAAGCAACTGGAAGAAACATGATTATGAGATATGAAATTTTTACTGAAGGAGGTTTAAAATGACTGGGTTATCTTAGTGACTCTCCCATACCTGCAAGCCTATATTCTCTTTAGTTAGATGCAGGGAAACAAAACAAAATCAACATCCTATCAGGCAGACCTTGAACTCAAGCTCCTCAGGCCTCTTGCCTGTGCTTCCCCAGGCTGGGATTATCTGCATGCTTCCACACACAGGTCTAGACCAGACGCTTCCTTTCTAAGTGGGAGCCATTAGCCACTAGAAGGAGTTCTGAGATGTAGCAGGCCCTCTATACTTTACAGCCAAGCACACAGTGACACAGAGCCTTAGCTGAGCCTTTTCTTTCTCTACTACTTGATGTCTCCATAGCCCCAGAAACATCAGTTACAAAACTTTTCTATCAGAGTAGAGAGGCAAAAATCTAATCCGTAGAAAATGCAGCCTAGATGCCTCTAACAAAACATAAAACACTAGAGTAGGGAATTGAAAACTAGGTCAAATATTTGAGGAGCTCTTGTGTTTAGTTTCAAAATCTTAGATAATGTATTTTTATGCTTAGTTTTCTAGTACAAAAAGAAAATTCATGTTAAATATAATCCATAATGCAAAAGGAAATGGAGGAAATAATTCTGAGAGACTATTTCAGTCATGGACACGCTCTCTACTATATTATTCTTCCATCAAAAGTTAATTGATGCCAAGTATGGTGGCTCACACTTGTAACACCAGAAGCAGAGAGGCTGAGGGGAAAAGGGTTGCTATGAGTTCAAAGACAGCCTGGGCCAGCTTGAACATAGGGAAAACCTGTCTCAAGAAACAAACAAAAGTAGAACAAAACAAAATGTTAATTGATATGTGATCTGCAATCTTCTAATATAAGAAATGGAGACTGTTTCCTCGTTATACCATAAACACATGAAAATTTAACATATAGTTGGGTTAAGACATGCCAAATTAAAATTTACATGAAGAAGACCTGAACGTCCACTCATTAATCTCTTGCTGAGTCCTAGATAAAAGCAAAAACATAGTCTGGATAAATAATATATTCAGATGGGCAGAAGTGGAAGGTATGAAATCTCACTGTGCTATCTCAGCTGACATAAAGAATATGTATTTTATCTAAGCATTTACACATTTATGAAGTATGAAATACTACAACTAAACTGTTGATGAATCTTTTGACATGGCAATGTGAAACATGTGCACATCTGAATGTGTTTGTAATAAAGTGTGTTGTCCCAGCCTATCAGTGTGTACTTGGCATTGACATTAGAAACAGTCCAGCGTCTGTGTCTCATTACAGCACACAAGGGTTCCGGAGAGCCGTGTTCACTTGGGAGTTAGTGTTGACTCATTTTACTTGATCTTCTACAGAGCTCAGGATGCAAGATCATTCCAATATGTACCTGTGTCATGGGACATGTACTAGTGGAAATGCTTTGCTCTGCATTATGTTAGCACAGATCACTGTGAACACATCCAAAAAAACTTTCTCTTCCTGGGATGAGGGGGAAGCCTCTGGAAAACCTCAGCTATCTCCAGTGCTTTTCTGTCTGTTTGTGTATGTGTGTGTATTCATTTAGATGTTTTACTGATTCTTCCAAAGAGAAAAAAGAGTAATACATATTATTTTAGAACATTTGGAAATCATTGAAAACATATAAAGCAGAAAGAAACACCATCTAATTCCAACAATAGGTACAGCCATTATTTATATGGGTTCTGCTTGTTTCTATGAATTTCTTTTCAATAGTGTGTTAAAAGTTAAGACTGCTTTGCTTTGACAGTGTTCCAGACACCATGGATTAACTTATAAGAGACTATCAGGTACAAGTGATATTTCTTTTCCAAGAGGTCGAATTTCAGCTCAATGTAGATGACATCCTCCTTAGGAAACTGCAAAGAGCCTGATACAGGAGCAACATGGTGAGACATTCAAGAAGAAACAGTTGTGGTCCCTACCTCATCATCATCAGCATCATACTGGGCATAGTGGCGCTCAAGCAGCTCCCTCTGGCGCCTCTCCTGTTCCAGGGTCTGGCTTATCAACTGGGCAACCTCGCTCACTTGTCCTGGTTTTTCTCGCCCAATAATGAACCTGTGGAAAGGTTAACAGAGGATAGGGTAACATAGTCACAATCATCCAGCTAAGAAGAGTGGCCACACTCAAGCCAGAGCAGAGGCTTTTTAGACTAAAATGTACTATGACCTATGTACTCCATATAGCTAAGAGATGATAGATTTACTCAGCCAGGAAAGCGATTTTACACACACAGCTAAGCAAAGAAAGAGAAAGGTGAAAATAAAGGACCATCCATGAAGAAAAACACTCAGGAAAGCTATAACATGTAATCTCTCCTGCAGTATTTTACATATTCTGATGACTTAAAACATGGAAGCCAGGACATTGTCTCCTGTACCTGATAATCTAAAACACTTCTACAACAGTGTCCCATAATATTGCAAAAACTGCTTGGAAAACATTTTAATAGACCTTACCCTACATTGGATGGCTAATGGAGGGACACTGACTTTTGCTGAGTTACAAACACTTTGGTAACGAGGAGGAGAAATAGAATGTTTTAGATGTAATTTGTTTTTAAAAAGAGAAATTATAAAAAGAGGTGCTATTATTAACCAATTGTGTGTGTGTGTGTGTGTGTGAGAGAGAGAGAGAGAGAGAGAGGGAAAGAGAGAGAGGGAGAGAGAGAGAGTGAGCCCTTGCTGGTATAATGTGTTTTATTTAACATTTTATACCCTTTCACATTAATATATGATTCTATTTTTCAAAAATGCATATGTCTACAGCATATGATTCTAAATATCACTTAGCATCATTATTTTAAATGTGATGCTTAGTCTTTTCTACACTTAATTGATAAATCTCCCTTGACTATAGGATGTTGTTTTATCCAGTATTAAACCATAAATCACCATTTTCTGTATAAGGACACTGAAGATCAAAATTCTTGTTTTAGATGTTTCTAGTTAATTGCCTTTCCAAAACATGTTCACATAGTTTCAAACAAGACCTGGCTTAGAATTCAGCTCAGATGCTCATTATCTCACTTACCTCTGGGAGTCAAGTATAAAAAGGATTCTATAGATTTTCTTTGTCAAATAAAATTCAAATTCAGTAAGACACATCTATTTTAAATGTCTGGTTCAATAAGAATGACAAGCACATAGGCCCATGATTACTCTATCAATGAAAATATGGGGAACTTCTATCAACCCAAAGCATTTCCTCATACTGCTTTCTAGAAAACGCCTTCACTCTGGTTCCACATTGATCTTCTGGAGTTTCACTTAAATGGAACTGTGGTGTCTGGTAAATGTTTTACTGTATGGGATACGTATTTGAGCCATGTATTCTTCTATTAATAGCTCTAAAATTTAGATGGATTTTAGATAAAATGTATCGTTACTACAAATATTTGCATGTGAGCCTTTACAGATATGTTTTCATTCTCATTTAGCAAATAATTAATAATAGAGTTGAGTCAGATTGGCAAATGCACGTGTAACTTTCCAAAGAGTTGCCATGGTGTCTTCTGAAGAAAGGGTACCACTTCATAGACTCCTCACAATGCACCAGACCGACGCCTGAAGCACATCCTCACTAACACCTGGTGCTGCCAGCCTGTGGAGCATCAGTCATTCTCGAGGGCATCTGCAGGTGTCAGTGCTCTCAGGACAATAACTAAATTCACACTTTACCATCCAGGTCTCTTCTTTCATGAAATATCGTTTCAAAAGTTTATCCACTTTTAAAAAGTGAGTTGTCTTTATGATTGAGGTGCTATGACTCTTAACATGCTTTGTACCTATCCTTGTCTATTTATCTTGCAGATATGTATACACAAAAAATGTACATTTATGCATTTATGTGTTTAACCTATTACACTCTCCCAGTTTATGCTTTCACATCTCCGCTTCTCAAATTATGTCTGTGAGTTTTTAAAACAATCATCAGTTTCTGCTTCAACAGATGACCATCTACAGTATCATGTGGGGGAGACGAATTCACACTTACTATGTGATGAAGTTGTCAAGTCTTTTCTTCATCTATTTGTCAACACAATAATAAACACAGACCTGCCAATGGCAGACTGAGAAGATTTTCATGAATAAACTGTTGAATCACATGTAAAATAAAAAATGATGTGTTTCAATGAATTCTAATTTTTAAGATTTTTTTTGCCTACTTTATGATTAAATCTTTTTTCCTTTAATTTAAAATTTCTTCTCAAAGTTAAATTTAATATTCAGGTACAATGTGTCCTAAGGGTAGTTTTTTTCTTTCTAAATAGCCAGTGATTTCAACACCATTTGTTAAAGACTGTTCTTTACAAACCCTGAATTACTTGACTAAATTGTGGCAAATCAGTTGATTGTGTGTTTGTGGGATGATTTCTGGACTTTGCAGTCTGTTCCACTGAGATGTGTTTATAAATCTACCAATACAATATTCCCATGGCTGTTATATAGTAAATCCTGAAACTAGGTGATAAGTTTTGACCTCTGTGTGTCTTTCTTCTGCATCTGCATATAGACTTTATAGTCAGCTGCCTATTTTCTCTAGGAAAACACACCGGGGTTGGGTCTGGAATTGCTTTGAAAAGCCATGTTGACAATATGAGCTCATCTGATCCATGAACATGGGATATGTCTGTCTTTACTTAATGGTCACTTTCTCATATCACAGACCTTAAGCAATTTTTTGTTCTATCTCCAAACAGTCTGTGCTTTCTGAAGTAAATGTCATACTACTATTTTTTACATTTTAGAATGCTGAAATGTAATTGAATCATAAATCCTGGATTTGTCTTTTACAATCTAGTTAAACTCAATCACTATTTCTGTGAGTTTTCTGTAGATACCTTAGCATTTTGAAATAAGAATGTATCTACCATTAGGAAACACATTTTGACTTCTTCCTTCCATGTTTGTGTTTGTCTGTACGTGTTAGTAAGGTTTCACAGCATTCTTTGTTTTGTTTCCTAGTCTAAAATGAGAGTTCTGAATGGCTACGAGGTACATAGGATGATTTAACTAGAGATATTATAATCTCTATGATAAGGAAGTCTTTAGTGTGTTAAATTGATATTCAAATTCATTATGTTTCGATAAATACATATTTATCAGAAATTGTACCTCATATTACACATATAAAGAAAAATATAAAAACTTCATATCCTAGAACAGCTGTATTAGACAAGCCTAGACTGGCCTTTTATGTGTGTTTTTTAAAAAAGATTTGTTTATTTTATGTGTTTGAATGTTATTCCTGAATGTCTGTCTGCACCATGTATGTTCCTGTTGCCCACAGAAGTCAGAACATCAGATCCTGTGGAACTGGAGTTATCAATGCTCATAAGTCATCATGTGGACACTTGGAACTAAACCCCAGTGCTCTCAAGGAACATCAATTTCTCTTTGTTGTGGAATATTTAACTATGCAAAGATGTGTTGCTGTTTTACCTTGCCTGCCTAAGGCATCTGACTTGTCTAATAAAAAGCTGAATGGCCAATAGCAAGGGAGGAGGTATAGGAGGAACTTCCAGGCAGGGAGAGTAAATAGGAGGAAGAATTTAGGCATTGGAAGAAGAAAGAAAAGGAGAGGACAGGGAGACGCCAAGGGCCACCCAGCCAGATATGGAGTAAGCAGGGAAGTTCATCATACAGAATGAAAGAAAGGTAAAAAGCCCCTAGGCAAAATGTGGATGATTCAAAACAGGTTAAATTAAGTTAAAAGAGCTAGTAGGACAAGCCTAAGCTAAGGCAGAGCATTCATAATTAATAAGTCTCTGTGTCTTTATTTGTGAGCTGGTTGGTGGTCCTAAGAAAAGCCAACTATAGTTCTTAACCACTTAGCCATCTCTCCAACACTTTTCAAGTGTTGTTGTTTGTTTATGTGTTTGTTTGTTTGTTTGTTTGTTTTTGACACAGGGTCTTACTGCCCAACTCTGACTGGTTTTGAAATCACTATATAGATGAGGCTGGCCTCAAACTCACAAAGAGCATCCCTGCCTCTACCTCCTCAGTGCTGAGATTAGAGGTGTGTGCCACCATGCACATATTTTTTAATGTGTTTTTAAACAGACCACATAGTTAGGCTTAAGGTACTATCACTAATCTATTATAAAGTGACAGAGTAATGAACAAAATACATACTAAGGAAAAACATAACAAAAGCTCAAAGAATAGAATTCAAATTCATTTAACCCATTCATTTTTAATGTCAATTTGGAAATAATGTGATATAAAAGTACACCAGATTAATACAATTTCTCCTCCTCCTTCTCCAATTCCTCCCCTGCCACCCAAACTTCTCTTGAATTCATGACTTCTTTGTTTGTAATTATTGTTTAAAACATAGTACACACACACACACACACACACACACACACACACACACACACACACACACCCCACATGCAAAACATGTCTACCGAGTCAAATTAGCATTGGCCATATAGGCTTGGAAAACCCATTCAGTGTCTTGTCCCGAAAGGAAATTGATCTTCCCTTCCTCAGGAGCTCTTAGCTGCCGATAGCTCCTTGCCTAGAGTTAGGGCCTTATGAAATATTCCCTCATGTGTGCTGATCATTTAAGTCCAAACTTCTTTACCTTTGTTTGAAAATTATGTGGGCAGATCTTGAGGAGTAATAATGTTTACTGAAAATGATGAAATGTTTTCTAAGGACATTTGCTCAATACAATTTATAGAGAAAATAAGATTTGGAACTTCACTTCTTGTCAAACATTTGAATCTGTTGTTGCTAATTCTAAAGATGAATGAAGGTCTTGATAAAAATCTTATGAGATATTAAACAACAAATGCCCAAATGATAACATAATACATATTGCAGTAATAAATTATGTAACCACAAAATATAATTGAAAACTCTAACACAGAATGTTTCTATCTTAAGAAAATGACCACTGCTTCCAAACCAGAATTATTTATGATAAAGCTGATATGAATGAGTCACACACGATCAAACTTTGACAGGAACTAAAGATCACCCAATACTTCACAAGAAACCAGAACTTTAAATCATAAGGGCACTTTTGTTTATCATCAGAGCTTT